GAGAGCAAGTAGTCTTTCATTCTTTAAAAACAAGCCAGTGTTATTTGCTAGTACAGCTGAGCGTAGGTGGAACTAATAGGAAAGAAGAATAGTGAACCTGGGAGAACTTCCACATGAAACCGGCTAATAAGGGTGAAACTGTTTGCCTTAGAGGCTGAATGTATTAGACATGAAAAATTCCTAGGGGAAAATGATGGGCTGGTAAGTTTTATTCATGCTGTCTCATTAGGACAAGGTGCTCTAGGAAAACAAGATTAAAATTAGTATTCTTTTCCTTCACAAATACACAGCTAACCTTTGGTATTCACACCCACATGAGACATGAGGGCATTCAACATGGTGTTTAACCAGGATCATAAGACCAGCCTGATTCTAAGTAGCACAGATGCTAAAAAAGGAGAAGAAATTGTTTGGAAGCCATTCACCTTCATGTTTTGTTAGCCATATGTAATTAACAGAATACGGAACAAATTTAATGTTTTTCAAATACTTCAGAAACAATTTTCCAAGATCTTCCTCTAAGCTGCCTGCAGTCCATCCTGTACTGGCCATACCTTACTCTAATATGACATTCCATGTAGAACACATAGCTTCAAACACCTCCCTGGGACAGAGGAGAGAAAGGGTGGCAAGAGGAAGAAGAGAAGAAACATAAACATCTTGTGGGTGGAAATAGGACACTAACCATGATTTTTCTGACTTCTAATATTTTTGGAGTTTGTTTCACTGCTTTCACTGTGTAATCAAGCCTTGCATGCTGAGGCCACAGAGCTCTCTACTGTTGTTGGGAAGGCCTTGGGTGACAACCCAGGTGGTGTTGTGAAGTGGAAGATGGAAGTTGTAGTCATCCTCCAGTGATCTGTGGATTAACTAGATTGCAGTTAATACAGTTGGATGGAATACTTGGCTGTCTTGGATTAGCCAGACCTGGCAGCATGGGATGTGCTGCTGTCTTATCAGCTTGGGCAAGAACAGAGCAGCAGTAGGAAGCCAGATCATCCATCCTTAAAATCCACCTTGCATGGTGGCTTGAGGCACAAATGGAATATGCTACGGGTGTGGTGCTGGAATAAATTCATCCAACAATATGTTTTACTCTGTGCTGTAAATGATCTTCAAACATCTGAGCAAGAGCATGGCTTGATGCTGTCTTTAGCAGAATTAAGGGACTCAAAGCCTTGGCTTCTTCAGCTTCATCTTCAGCTCCATCCTCTGTCTCTAATTTCTCATCTTCAGCTCCATCCTCTGTCTCTAATTTCTCATTTAATTTTGGGCAAGCCACTTAATATCTCACTGGCTTAATAATATGCAGGTGTTTTCCTGTCTCCTCTTGGCATTAGGAGAGTAAGTATATCCTGAATAATGGAGGGGAATAAAAGGTAGGCACTTTAAGCTAAGGGTAGCTCCTGCTGGCAGATGTTTTACATGTGTGCCTCTGGTTATGTCTCTCTCCTCACAGGCAGAGATCAGAGCTAGATTTGCCATGCAGCATCACGAGATGATGTGAAAAAATGCCATGTATTTTTCAGTAGGTAGGATGTAAAGCAAATGCTTTTGTTTCCTGCAGGACTGGTTGATGTGTTAGAGAATTAGCTTCAACCCTCAGTTTGCAAATGCTGAGTTGTTGAGTGCAGGCAAGGCAGCGGGGCTGAGCTTTCGTGCTGCTGCTGGCATCTCACCTTTGGTTGTCAGCAGCAAAGCAAAATTTTAAAGCAGTCAGACCCTCCAACACTGCATGATGGAACTTACATTTCAAACATGGCATGTCTGTCAAGTCCTGCCCTGAGAACTGCCTTGAAGAATGCAAATTCTACAGACTGGAGGGTGCAAAGGCAGCGATTGAGGCAACGTGTGAAAAGCTTCCCTCTGCAACCTGCACCGTGACCCATTCAGAGAAACCTCCCCTTTTAGCTTTTAGCTCTGCTAGACAATTTACTGTGTCTCAGCTGCCTCACTGCATTATGTCCTTCAAACCCCCCAGAATTAACGTTTGGAGCCAGCAAACACTGCTGGCTCCACAAGAAAAGCTGGGAGCGGAAAGGTCAGGTCGATTAAAGCACTTGATCAGAATCTTTAACATAAAGACGTCACAAGCAAAGCAGGAACGCTGCTTCACACTCAGCTAAGAGCAAATGATTCATCAGGCAGGGCTGCTTATTTTTGGAGGATAGCCACAAAAGAGAAGGGAACATGCTGGCTGTATTGATCACGGTTGTAACGGGGGACCGCAGAGCCCTTCCCTAGTTTTGATGGAAATTTAATGTCAGGAATACATCACCCCATGTAAATACATCAATACATATTTTACATTGAATGGATTTTAAAGATGTTCTGGCCCAGCTTGGCAGAATCATGTCACCTCTGCACAAATCTCAGAGCTGTCATTTAGAGCAAAGGGCTGTTCTGCAGTATTCTGTGTTGCTTGATGCTGCTAAAGATGGAGCCTTTTTGGGAGGACTTCTATCAAGGTGGCTGGAGAAGCAGGTGTGCTCTGGAATCTCCAGTGCTTGTGCCTACCTTCAGTGGGTGAAGATGTACCAGTGTTGAGCATATTCAGCCTAAAGGATGGTTTCATGTGGCTGACCCCCACTGCCTGCTGTGTCCAGAAGTGTTTGGAAATACTGTTGGAGCAGGCACTGCTGCCCAGGAGCTGCACATCCCTTGAGCAGAGAGCTCCTGCTTGCCCCAGGCAGCATCTCTGTCTTGCCCTTGGCAAGGGCAGAGGTGCTGCAGTGGCAGCAGCTAGAAATGAGGCACACATGAAGTTTGGGTTGGGTATCAGGAAATGGTTTTTCACCCAGAAGGTGGCTGAGCACTGGAACAGGCTCCCCAGGGAAGGGCTCACAGCACCAAACTTGTCTGAGTTCAAAAAACATTTGGACAGCATTCTCAGGCCCAGGTGTGTTTCTTGAGGTGGCCGGTGCAGGGCCAGGAGTTGGACTTTTAGGTCTTGATGGGTCCTTTCCAGCTCAGTGTATTGTAGGATTCTATGATTCTGAGATAAATGAGTGTGAGGAAGAACACAAAGAGAAGAAAAGTTCAGGGAAGAATGGTTCAGAGAAGAAAATGCAGCCATAAAGAATGACTGGAAGAGAGAAGGAAGCAGGAATTCCTGGTGGAAGGATCATTTTCCCAGAGGAGTATGAGAGGGAGGGTGCAGGGAGAGAAGTGTAAGTACAGTGTGATGAGGCATAGGGGCAGGAGCACAAAGGAAAATGCCCCTGGAAGAGAAGGAAAAGAGGAGCAAGTGGAGGTGGCAGCCTGGCATGCAGGAGCTGCTGTGCAGGATGGCAGGAGTGGGCTTTTGGGGACATGAAAACCAATGGAGACCCCTAGGGTTGCTGAATCCAACCCTTTGTGGCCACTGGCAGCCAGAGCAGAGCCATCTGGGAACAGATGTGCTCCAGAAGTTGGTGAACAGATGATCACAGTGCTCACCCCGGCCCACAAAATGCTTAAAGCACTTTGTAGTTCACCTAAGGCCCTCAGCATGCAAGACCAAGAGAGCAAGACAAGCTGTGGGCAGAGGGATGGGGGAGGAAATTACTTCAGCAGCAGTGGCTGGGATGCACTGAAGAGGGGGGGTTGGGGCAGAATTCTGTACAGACCCAAGGGGTATGTCTGTGTTGCAGAATACTGTGTGGTGGGGAGGCAGTCACAGCTGTCTGTGCTTTCCTGCAGTCTCATTCCTGGAAAGGAGAGCAGGGCTGTGCTCCTGAAAGTCCAAACAAGCTGGTTCCTGCATGGCCAGTGCAGATATCTCAGCTGCATTACATACTGCAAAAACACAATCAGTTCTTGTCAATAAGTTTAAAATAATTCAAGACAGACTCTATGATGGCAAAACCATTGGCTATCAAAAGCAAATGAATAAAAGGTGAGATTCAAAAGAAGCTCTCCTGTGCCAAAGGTGACATTGTGTGATCAGAAATGCCCCAGAGAGCAATACTTGTGATTTTTTTCTGAGGCTCTTGTTTTCTCTCTGGTGGTCTGCTACTTCTTGAGTCAGTGCTCTCCTAATTTAGCCTGTAATGTCATGCAGGACCCCAGACACTCCCAATCTGCAATTGTGACTCTACCAACCCCTCTACAGAATTAACTCAGCTCAGAATTAGTCATTCAGCATGCCAGTGCATGCAAAATAGACTCAAGTGGATCAGGTTTTGTGTTCAGGGACTGAATTGCAGTAAATCCAGGGACTCGGAGAATTCCAGTCTGCATCTGGGCTCTCATGTCCAGGGGGATGCTCCTCCTCCACTGGCTGCACAGTGTCTCCGAGCAGAACAAAAAGAAGAACCAATAAGTGATTTTTTCCTCTTGAAGCCATTAATTTTCTCCTTCAGTTCTCCTGTGGAAGCAGCAGTGACCAGAGTGTGTAAGAGCAGCAGTAGTGCCATGTTGGCAGGATATGTAATGTGAGGGTGGGAGGGGATGGCAGGAATTCAATTTGAATTTTTCAGTTTTTCAGCACTTTTTTGGGATAGAATCAAGGCTTGTCCCAAAACCAGAAGGGGGATATCTGTGTTGAAAAGGTGTGAACTGTAATTTTACAGATTGTTTGACTTGTGTGAAGTGGCTCTTGGTTGGGGAAGAGGTGATGCTGGAGGTAGCACTGTCATCTCAGCTGGACCTGGTGGGCAACAAGCCCACTAACTTTCAGTGAGCTGATCTTCTGCCAGATGCCACCTCCTTGGTCTGTTTTAAGTTCAAACAAGTCGAGATTTGATCTGTATCATAGAATCATAGAGTGGTTTGGCTTAGAAGGGACCTTAAAGGTCATCTAGTTGCACCCCCCTGCCATGGGCAGGGATATCTTTTGCTAGACCAGATTGCTGAGAGCCCCATTCAGCCTTTCCTTGAACACTTCCAGGGATCTGCTTGTGCATCAGCCCTCAGCTTTAATTGTTAATGGTATCCATAAGAATTGTGACTGGGCAGGTAAACTCCAGGTGGAACTGTGTCCCCAAAGCAATCTAATCCTGATATTTCTCTCTCTGCAGGGGGTGGAGGGAAACGCAAAGGCAAAAGCAAAAAGTGGAAGGAAATCCTGAAGTTCCCTCACATTAGCCAGTGTGAAGATCTCCGAAGAACAATAGGTAAGAGCTTTTCCCTTCTTTGGAAGCACAGCATGAATAAAACATTCTATCAGAACTGGCTCATTAGAATGGCATTAAAGGCACTCATCATTACAGGGAGTCAGTTTACAGGTGGGCATGCAATGCACGTTCCTCCTGTGGTGCTGCCTTGCAAACTCAGCATTTTCTCATCCTAGCAGGGTTTGTGGACCAGGCAGGAGAGGCTGGAATGCTGCACTTGCAGGGCAGGGCATGGGGCTGGCAGCATCCAGGCCCTTTGTTTTCCCTACACAGGTTCCAGGACCCAAAGGGGTTTCACAGCTGGGCAATACCTGGCATGTGGGACAGGGGCTTTCCCTCTGTCCCTACAGTGTGTCTGTAAAAACACATTCAGAAAGGAATCCCCTCATCACATCCTGCATTCCCTTTTAGTAAATATCTCCCTATCTGGGAGGAAATGAGCCTTGCTGCCTGTAGTTGAATTTAGTATTAATTATAGTGTGGATAAGATGTTTGGAGCAGCAGCCAGGCTTCTGCCAGGCAGGTTTGCTCAGCAGCACCATCCCCTACTCAACTTTATGGAGGTTTTTTACAGGACATGTAAAAAACTTATTCTAACTTAATTTGTTTTATTCATGTGGGCCAAATGCTGCAGATTTGGCAGGGAGCTTGCAGTGTCCATTTTCATAGCACTGCATTTCTCCTGCTCATACATGCCAAATTTCAGCATTCTTTTGACTGCTGCCTTGGCAGACAAGGCTAGTAGCTATCTCCTTCTGCATTCTCCCCTGGAAAGCCCAGGATTACTGGTCTCACCACAAGAGGTTAACTTCAGCATTTGAGGCTTCTTTTCTCCCCTACACATAAAATCCAGTCAGTGGCAAGAAATGAATGAAAGGCAAGAATCTGTAACAACTGAGATAAGGGGCAGCATAATTTGTCTAACTTGGGTGAACTCCTGGGGTCTGAGTGACAGTGCCCTGGCACTATTTACATTAGAAATCCACAGCATGTTTATGCAGAGAAAATATGTGCAATGTTTTGAAGACTCTTTTCATGGTCTCCTTCAGGAAAATTTTCTTCCTTTGCCTTCTGTTGTAGCTAAAAGGAGGTAAAGAGAAGAGGGGAGGCAGGAGAATAGTGTAGGTTTTTCCCAGTTGACAAACATACAAAGCCTGACCAATTTCTGAAGGTACAGAACCTGCTGGAAGCAAATCTCACTTAATATATTATAATTTGTAAAGGGAATTCTCCCCATTGTTCTGTCAGCCTTGGTTTCCAAAGGGGAAAATGGCTCCAGATGAAATGTTCTTTCTTTAAAAAGGTGTACTATCCTAAAATGAGTAGTCTTAAGAAAATTAAGTCTGCCAATTATTTCTGTTTCTGAAATACTACTTCTGGCATTTTTTGTGTGTGTCAGCTTCACCCTAATGTAATTTGTTTTGCATTTTTTGGTGAATGATTTGGTGGTGTAACCAGGCAAGAGCCATTGTGGGATCTCTGGGCAGATTTGGTTTCAGTCACTTACAGTGATTACCTGTTAGCTGGGAATTCTAGCAACTGCCTTTTCCACGGTGGGAAATAAGGTCCGAGTCCTGGTTCTGTAACTCTGATTTTTGTTGAGTGCAGCTGGATGTGATTGCACAAGGAATAAGGCACTGTTCAGCCTGAATAATGTTACCTGTTCTTGCTGGCTCTGCCATTTTCAGTGAATCTCTGAAGTTGAAAGATCCCAGAGAAACAGTTTTCTGAGCTTCTCCTGGCTCGTACAGGGTGTCTGACACATCTTGGGTGGGTGGGTCTATGGCACTAAGTCCTTTTCATGTGTGTGCTCTGGATCCATTGCAGATCCCCTGCCCTGGGCTCTGTGCTCCCTGGAACAAGTACTGCTCACTGCAGTCCAGCCTTAAAGGGCTTCTGTTCCTGCTTCTGCTGAGGAAGAACAATTTCCCTGGCTTTAACCCTTCTTCATTTGTAATTTTCTGCAAGTCCTTTAAAAGGATCTCAGGATTTCAGGCTAGTGTCTGCACAGGGAATATACTGGAACATCTTTCCTGGCCCTTCACCTGCTCTGGGACTTGCAGGGATTCAATGTCTTGGGCTGTCTGCACATCAGCCCTTACCCTAACAATATCTTAACTTGCTAGTTCAGAAATAGAGAGCCCAGAAAGGCTTTTTCCTCCAAGGCCAGGTTGGATGGGGCTTTTAGTGGAAGGTCTGTTAGGGGGATTTGAACTAGATGATCTTTCCAACCTTCCAACCCAAACCATGGTTCTAAACTTTATACAAGGAAAAAGCTACAGCCTAATTCAATTTGTTTAGAGATCAGGAAAAATACAGGCATGTTCTGCTTGTCACAGTCCTCTTTACTGCTGTCCTCCTCCCAGCATTTTCCATCAGACAGAGTCTTGCCACTTAGGTTAAAAAAAAATAAATAAATCACAGCAAGTCTTAGAGGGTTGGATGAGATGGAACACTGGGCTGTTGAGGTTTTGTTGTATTCCTCTCTTCTGGATGCTTCCCAAGAGCCTCCAGGGAAAGGCTAGAGGCAGGAATGGGATGGACTTTTTGATTTAGAGCAGTCATGGACTGCACAGCTTAGTTTAATGTAGCCATAAGCAATAGATGGAAAATGCTGCTGTTGAAATTGTGGCAGTACAGCCTACATGTGTGTGTAGATGCCCACATCTTGGTGTAAAAACGTGTGTGCTTTTGCACCCCGCTAAGATGTACTGAAAAGAGTCTGTGTCTTAAAAAAAATAGTGTAGTGTGAAAAGAAATCTGTGAAAAACAGGAAGGCTGAAATAAACCAAGGGTCTGCGACCTGTGTTGACACAATTATGAGTCAGTTCATACCTTTTGGTTACCTCTGTGTTTACAGGAGACTCTGTGTTTGACTATCCATCATCTGGTGTCTCACTGAAAGACTTGCTTAGTAAAGCCCTTTTTTTCTCCTCCTTCTTGTGCACAGAAATAAAAATCAAAACACCCGAGAGAAACACTGCTTTTTGATAAATAAACAAACACTGGAAACGTCTTTATTAAAAGTGCCATTTAGCCAAGGAGCTATTTTTTTGGACTGGACTTAAAAGCAACTCCTTTTCTCCTTTCTTTTTTCTCCAAAGTACGCAACACCTTTTGCAGGGAAATTCAGTGGCCTTCATTGTGTGCTAATTAAATAAGCAAGGGAAGCAGGGATGCTGCACTTTACTGGGCTCTAAGAGAAGCTTGTATACTATGAATGGCTAATGCATGTTTCCATTTGCAGCCCTCTTCCTGGCTGTATTTAATTGTATCAAAACAGCCGGCCCTTTCCAGGTTGGAAGATTTCCATATTGGCACCAGAGGCCCAGTCAATCGATAAAAACTGATTTTTGAGGCATGGCTACCATGACTCATGTGATGGATGCTGCTGTAGATGGGGTTCTGCTATCTTTAAAACTCACAGATGACAGCTTAGCAAAAGAGAGATGTTTCAAGGGAAGAGAAAAAAAATACCAAGGAACAGCTTTAAAAGTTCCTGCATTTGACATGACATGAAGAGATGCCAAAAGTTAGAGATATCCACCGGTTTAAAGGCCTTCAGTAAACAAAAATATAAGAAAAAGTTGCAATTTGAAAGGCCAGAATGTCTTTTTGATGATAAAAGATTCTGGATGTCTGTAAATATTTCTGAATGACGCAAAAGGTTCTGTTGGTTAAAAGTGTGGAATTTTTATTTATTTTGCTCAGACCCATTCTGTGCTTTTTTTTTTCATAAAAAAACTGCCTGGGTGAAAGAGTTGATTATTCTGATCTTTGGCAAATTTTCATGCACAACTGTCCAAAAGCTATATAATAAATCAAGACTTTTTTACCCCATAGATTGAACCTTGTGGGGAAACTGCCACAGAATGTGTCTGTGTTTGTTGCATAGAGTGATTTGCTGCATTATTGCAGAAAACTTTTAACTCCTTTGGTAAAGCAGTTTCTGGTTGTGCATGATGCTCGGGTGGAAGAGAACGCTGAGGATTTCTCTTGTTAAATATTTTTATTCAGTGAGATCTCGCAGTCAGAAAGATCAGCCCCATTAATACTAATTTGGCCATTCTTGTTTTAAAAAAAATAAATTAAAATCCTTCCTTTGCCATTTAACCTCTTACATGGCATTTGCCTCCCATTTACCCAGGGTAAAAGTAGCTTGAGCTTCTAATTTTGGCACATTCTTTTCCGTGTTGTTAAAAATACACTTCTGCGTGAGAAACACTTTGTAGAGCTGGTGAGCAGAGTAAGTGGGACAAAATCGAAGCCACAGAGTTCACATGCTCACTTTTTACAAAAGCTGGCTCTTTTCTCCCCCCACCATTCTCTTGGGTATTATACTTTTTCAGACGTGATCAAGACCTTCACCTACACGATTTTTTTCCCCAGTCACTTTGCAGTTTATCTGCCTGGAGGCACAATTGGCAGTGCAGGCTCTGCAGTGAGCTTCAGATGCTTTGAGTGTTTGTGGAGCTTCCTAGAAATGCTTTGCAGCCTGCACTGAGCTCCATCCTGTGGCAGAAAGCCTCCTGCTGTACCCCTGGTGTCTCATTCAGAGGTGGCTTGGACCTCCCTCTCTGCTGCACGGTGCTGGCACGTCTTTCATGAATTCCCACCAGCCATTCTCAGCTTTCTTGACTCCAGAGATTTTCCAGCACTGCAGAGAGAAACTCATGGGCGAGGAGTCTTGCAAAAGCCAAGTGTGAATTTCCAGGCTTGCTGGGGAGGGAAGGTGTCCCTGAGAGACAGAGTGACAGCATGGCCTGTCACAGTTCACTGTGTGGCATCCTGCCCCTCTTCACTGGGAAGGGCATCACCCCCGGGGCTGTATCCCCCAGGGGATGGAGATGTAGGCAAGGAAATGCACTCCATGTGCAGATGTCACATATAAAGCTCAGGCACTGGAATGGGGAAGGAGAAGGCATCAAAGCCCAGTCTGATCAAAAACACAAAGAAGCAGCCAGTTTTCTCTCCACCAAATTCTTCACCTCAGATGTTTA